AAAAAAAAAAAACTCCAGCCATTGAAAACTCTGTGGGGTCACCATAAGTTACAATCAATTCCATGGCAACTGATTTGGTTTTTGCTTTTAGCACCCAGACTACAGTCTCAATATTCTTTTTGACTAAATGAATAACAGATCCTTGGAGAAATATCTGATTCCCAGCCTGGGTCAAGGAGCTCTGGTAGCATAGTGCCTAAAGCACTTGACTGCTAACCAGAAGGCTGGCAGTTCAAACCCACGAGCCACTCCTTGGAAGGAAGGTTGGGCAATCCTACTTCTGTAGTGATACTGCCTCGGAAACCCAAGGAGGGGTCACTATGAGTCGGGGCTGATTCGATGGCACATAACAACAACAACAACAGCCTGGGTCAGGAAATGTATAATATGATCCTGGAATGTCTTATTCTACCAGAAATGAAAGATTACTAGGGTTGTAGAAAGGGACTCAAGACTCAATGTGCACCTCTATGAACTGCCTCCTTTGCCATGAGACCAGAAGAACTGGATGGTGCCTGCCTACCAATATGGAATATACTGATCAACAATTCCACAGAAGAATTCTGATAAAGGGGGAAAATGTAGACAAAAAATTCAAATTCTCATAGATTCCAGACTTTCTGCAGCCATGGAGTATGGATGAACCCCTGAAACTATTGCCCTGAGTTGTTGTTGTTATGTGCCGTCGAGTCGGACTCGACTTATAGCGACCTCTCCTTGGGTTTCTGAGGTGGTATCACTCAAAAGTAGATTGCCCAACCTTCCTTCCGAGGAGTGGCTGGTGGGTTTGAACCGCCAGCCTTCTGGTTAGCAGTCAAGTGCCTTAGGCAGAAGCATTAAACCTTAAACCAAAAATATCTCCTGAAGTTTCTTAATAATAAACAATAGCTTAGTTTAACTAGTAAAGACAGTGCACCTTGAGCGCTGTGCTCTTTTTAAGAACTATCTACATGGCATCAAAGTGACAACAGCAACTCAAGGCACTGGATAGGAGCCTTCAGGGGCAATGAGTTTATGTTATGAGGGAGGGAAAAATCAGAGGTGGAGGGTGAGAATGAGTGCACA